ATTGTTACACTCGACGGACTTTCTATTAACTTTGTTATATAAGGACTATAATCCCAAATGTTCGGTTGAAAGAAAATACTGGTCGTTGAGTCTCAACGGGCTTGGCGACAAGACGAACTGATTGGCGGTAAACCGCCAGTTGTAAAGTAACTCTGACTGTGAAATGAGAGTTAGTTGGGAATCGGCAGTCGAAGATAATTGAGAAAAGATCGCAAACATGTCTCGGCCCCAACTGGCGATCATGAGGTGCCTTAATTTGCCAAAACTCTTATCCTGTGTTGAATGTCACTCATTCACTTCACATGTAACTGCAATATTTAAATGTTGCAATCACAATCTAGCTAACGTTAATTAAATTACTATACGCTGTAATCTACTTCTGATAAAATTCATTAAATTTCTTCTGTAGAATTCTATTTACACCTAACAAGAACGTCGTCCACTTGGCCCGACACCCGCACCTGCTCTGCTGCTTCGCTCGCGGATTTCTTCTTGTCTTCTACTTTGGAGATGGAGGCGATACGTTCCTCCGAAACGTCGGTTAACAATTTCTATACGGCACCACATCCCAGAAGACGGCTTTCTTCATAGTCACCGCCGTGAAAACCTCAAATCTTTCCTTGGATGTTTATATTGTAAGGGCCTGTTGTTTTCTGCATGTAAGCCATTTGTTCTGGTTACGTTTTGCCCCTTGCTTGTATATCGTTCATTCTAAAAAGCGTGTTTTGTTGCCCTCTCTTGTAACACTGATGTTCTTGGATGTAACACCGTGTAGTCCTTTGAAAATTGGCCGGTGTCTTGGAAAGAACTTGTCTTTCCCGTCTTCAGGGTCGACGAATAAGCCAAGAAAGGAACCAGGACTAAGAGTTTAGCAAGAAGAGGGACTCTTCATGATTTCAGTCACTCACAGACTTTCTTTCATATATGAACTTTTTATAAAACTCTTCGTTTTTCCTATGCCTATCAAATCAGACTACTACTTGAATTGCAGTGGGAGTCGTGGAAAAGGAAAACTCCAGGTTCAACAATTTTACTTTTCTCTTTTGAGTGAATTCAAAGCGGAAAGAAAGAAAGAAAGAAACTTCTCGGTAGGTCTGATTAAACATTTGGACATATATTATGTAAATTGAAAATAAGGAGACCGAAAGAGGTCATTTGCATGCAATAATATTCATATATTCCTAAGTATATATAAGTGGCTGCTGCTAGTCTGCCGATACTCTATAAAATCATCAGCGAATGCAGAGCCCACGATTTTCATATCGTCTGGTTTATTTACTCAGTGAAATGAAAAGATCTGGCAACTGAACAGAGACTGTATAGACCCGTTTCTACGTATAATACATTTCTTGTTTTATAAAAGACATTTACTCCTAAGGCACAAACGTACCAGTTTATCTGCCCTCTCGTAGCACTAATTTTGAAATCTATGGAAGCAATTATAATATAATTATAATAGGAGACAAACGTTAAAAGCTACATTGAAGTTGTGCTTTTTAAATTCCTTTCTATTAGAAAGGACATAATGAAGGCCGCGCAACTTTCGAGGAGGAACTGAAAGTATTTAAATTCAATGTCACGACTTATATTCTTGTATACTAAGCGATACTGACATTCAGAACGTATACAGCCCTTGTGAAAATGATTTTATATAAATTTGAATCTTCTAGATGGTGACATCGCTTAGTCTTGTAGATAGACACCTAATTCCAGAGGAACAGGTACCTCCATACTCAGGATCGCCCTGAGAAAGAAAGTGGCAGTTTCCTCAGAAATATCGATATCCACCTGCGAGACTACACTGTCTCATAATTCAGAACACCACAACATCAACATTCACATGAAAAGAAAGAGTGGAAATAATATGCCCTCGTGCAAAATCTGCATTTAGGTGGAGATGGTGTTCACTACCGACGAAATGCAGGGAGGTATGAGCCCCTGTATCGTGATAGATCGTAGACATAGGCAATCTTCTGGGATATAACGCCATGTTACCCGCTGAATAATAAGTAGCAAGCTTCATGTTATTGCACAGTTCCGTTATTCTTCGACCCTGAAGATGGAAACTACACTTTTCCCCCGAAACATCGGCTGACTTTCAGATGACTGCGTGATATTTCATAAAAGGTGTAGCTCTGCATATCCACCGCTGTGAGAAACTCAAGTCCTGCATATATAGGAACGTGTGTGTATACTCGTATGTATCAAGAATTACGGACATAGCGACAATGCGAAAATACAAACTTAACGTAATGCAATTCATTCCATACACGTACACTCAGGTTGAAGTCTTTATCTGTCTCTTCATTAGGGATCCTAGCGCTACACTCTTCTGCTCGCTTCCAACGTAACGTCAGGGTTTAGGAATTAATACGAGAAGTAAATTCGGACTAATATACGACCTTAATTTAACTTGAAATCAAAATCATGATTTTAGTGCTAATTTTAAACACGAGGCAATTATTTTGATCTGTCTCCAGTTTAGCCCTCAAGAATATAGACTGAATTTCCAGATATTTTCTCTATAGATTTGGATGGATAAAGAAAACAGACACAGGCATCTCGAAATAAATCTTGAACTGTGTACATCCTGATGTATGTATGACACTCATCCACCTTACTTGTATAAAAACATAAATTTAATAACTATGCACGCTGTATTCATGTTAATTGTTTTACAAAATGCGATATTATTTTAAACGTCACAGCTTTGCCAAGAGGGGCAACATGGGTATCACTGATAAGCACGCGGTACTTTTGCTCGTACATTCCTGCATAATTGGAGCTACAGCACAGTTCAGGTAGGCAGAAAGAATAATACGAATTAGTCCATCTGCTACACACTGGCAGCATGTCATGACGTCATGTAACATGATTAGATGAGACAGAGCGAGCTCTAGAACGCAGTTGTGTGTGTGTGTCCATCCCACAGGATTGCTACGACAGCATTCGCTATATCTAGTCGAAACTCTAAATATTAGGAATCATATTGGAATCAGAGAACAAAAGCAGGTGTAAGCGGGTAAGGCGGACAACCTTATCGCAATCTTTGAGCCGATTGGGACCCTCAACGTCTCACAACCCTATGGGCCTTCACGGCATGGTACAGGGATAGCTTTACTTTATACGTATATATATATATATACACGTACTTCAACACCCAATAGGCTCTACATTTGTCATATTCTGATGACAAAAGCCAAAAGTACAGTTCTACCCTTGTATACCATTTTCCGTAGAGCATTACTGCGAACGAAATGTGTCTAATACAGATAAGTCATTAGCTTCCCTTCAAATATTAAATCAGTTATAACGACTCACTATCCTGCAGGCACTATCCTGTCTTTAGTTATGGGAGTTTGTAATAATTCCTGATCCTTGAACTGAAAAGTTTCCCGAAACAAAATCCAATTCCCTGCTTAGAGAAAAGGACGGAACAGGCCGCCTCATGAGAATTAGACAGAGATGAGCCTTCTCAACTTCCTGTTCTCCAACCGAAGTGTTTTCACAGTCGGAACGCACTTCCTAACACATGTATACGTGCCCACACAGAACTGTGACTCAGAATTCACGGAACATAGGAATGAAGCCGAGTTGTGTGGATTAAGTCACGTAAAGGAAACGGGGAGCTTTTGCAAGATTCTTGCAAACTGCCTTAAATTTAGGTCGTTTTGTAAACTTCAAGAAGAGTTTGTGGCCATTCTGAACTCGTAACGTTATGGGGCACAGCGCACACCTGCAGTAAATAACTTTTCTGCTCCATCGTTGGAACAATGGGAATGTATTAACACTGTTCCGTAATTTGCAGGATTGTGCTCATAATAAAGGTGCTACTGGTCTCGTGGATGTTCTCAGCCCCCTTATCATTGATCTGAACAACATACTGTGTAATCCTGCTGCAAGGAACTGCAAGACAAGTCCTCCTGTCTTGAAAACTTTAACGCAAAGTATAAATGTAGGAGAACATCTGGTTCAGTGGCCATCAATCTTGCTTCGTGTTCCGGACCAGCAGGACTCAAAGTCAGAAACGCAAATTGATTCAGTTTGCTATTGTATGCAGACACACTTTCGAGGCTCTAACTACTCACATGGTTTAGGAAACTTCTTGAAAAACTGAAAACATATGTTTAAACGTGATAAAAAAACTTTACTCTAATATGGAGCTCGGAATCTCTCTACTGTGTTAAGAGGCTGTGAAAGCTACCTATTCTGGAACAGCTGATTCCAGTCTATTTTAATATTATACCGCAGCTACAGAAATTACGAAGTGTTAAATATAAGAAAACGGACAACTGGTAAAGAGGTAGGACCTCTGAGTGATGTAGGTAATGATTCCTGGCCTCGGTATTTGCTCAGGAGGCAACAAACCATGAGAGAATTCAACCACTAATCCGATATCAATCCGAACCGAATAAGTACCAAACACCCGTTCACATCTGCACCATTTTCGATAAAACAGCTGGAACGCAGTTACCACTGATCACATATAAGCACCAGGTGACTGCACTGGCCATCCTGTTTAGTATATACATAAGCGAGAATTCCCACATGTGTCACATGACTGTATTGTTAGTCCTCTTCGGTTATATATAAGCGGGATTCCCCACATGTGTATGACAGTGTTGCCAATCCTGTTCAGTGGGACTTCCCACATGTGCCAGCTGATAGTGACGACGGTTAACTTCAGTACATAAATAAACGGAACTTCCCACACATACATATCAGCTGACTTCACGACAGTTCATGGCTTTGTCTTTTCCATTGGCTTGGAGATTTATAGGACGGAACATATGAGTAGAAACTAAATCGAAATACAAAGGGAGGTTCATTTCCGTGCTCTTCCTCCGTAGGGCTGAGGTTATTACAAGAGATTCCATTACAAAGACGGAAGCACATCTTGTATGCAGTGGTTTACAGGAGGGATATGTTGTGATCAATTAATATCCAGTAGGTCGGTGTTCTGGTCATCGTGTTATTCATGTCTGCATGTCTGTTTCAAGGGGTCCAAGCTGATTGGAAGCGATCTACCTCTGGCTGCCACACTGGAAAAACAACAGTAATTATGGCTGGAGTGGACTGCCAGACGCCCAAATTATACTCTGAAGGTCCAAGTGAGTTCGCATTTATTTTGATACGCAAATTTTTCGATGTTAGTCATATCATGAAGACGGAGGCAGTAGATTGCTGTGAAATGTTGGTAACCATCTACGAAACTATACGGAAATACACACGAGGACCATAACCACAACATTTACCGTAACGAGTAACTGAAATCTCATAGCGACTGAACGTATTTGAAAAGAGGTTAATTTTTTCGTATGAGAACCTGGGACTGAGACTGGTAGAAAGACTGCCTATACTTGGAGGAACCTGCAGCCTCCGTTCTCAGCAGAACGTGCCTCCTAAACGTCCATTACGATCTGCCAGGCCACGTACCAGAAGCTACTGCACTGAGCTTCTCAGATGTCATGTAATTACGACCTGGGTGCTGAGATGCAACTGTGCTCTCTCGACTGGAAGACGCTTAGCTTTCAGATATCCCAGCAGACCGCAGCTCCCTTGCACAACAGTTGTTTCCGCAGATATTTACACGAAGCATCGCTCCCTACCTTTCGGAATGGAGACAGTTGTCTGGGCTTGACCACATTACTGCTCCAACTGCAGCTATTTGGGGGGGGGGTGAAGTTTAGGAAATAAAACGTATATCCGAACAAGCTACGCTTCTACAACTCTGATTAACAATTATCCGCAGTTCCATTAAATGACTTCATACATGAGAATACGACATTAAAATAGAAGTGCAGATTACTGTCACATGGTATTTGATGCCGTATGGTCTGGTTCTGTGAGAAGTTCCATCTCCATAATCAAGACAGAAGACAAAGACCGAAAATGGTGGCAGCATGTCTATCTAAAATTTCGGTTAATATTTAACAGACCACACGGCGTCATATCTCGCGAGACAGTAATTTTTATCAGAACCTGAAGTCTCGCATAACAGACAGGCGTTGATTCTCGCTGAGGTATTTGATGGATTTGTGCAATGCTACATTCCTCAAATTTACTAGTCGAAACACCGCTCTTTATTCTATGCCGCCCACACACGCACAAAATCTCTCGAAGTTGGTCCTTATGTACCCTTTAACGGGCTGATGCAGAGGTAACGCTCTGATTCATATTCGAGAGACATTCCTTTCGAATCTTGAGAGGGACGTCGGCTGTACAAACTGAGTTATTTTGTGATCTTCCTCAGTCTCTAAAGAAATATGTAGGGGCTATACTGCCATTCGTCACGAACACTTCCTTCCACCTCCTTTGCGAATCATTCATGAACCGTCCTAGCATTTGTCGGTACATAATGTGCATATAACAGCATCTTAAACTATGTAAGGCCGGTCACGGTAGCCGAGCGGTCTAAGGCATGCACTGTCTTCGCTCGCTTGGAAACCGGGATCGTGGGTTTGAATCCCACTCAGGGCATGGATGTTCAGCTTGTGTGTGTGTGCGTTTTTCTGTGTGTGTGTGTGTGTACAGGTAGAGGCCTTGCGACGAGCTGATCACCCACCCAAGGACTCCTACCGAATATGTAAGATCTAGAAAAACCGAAGTGAACGGAGAAGTTCATGGAGGTAGGCCTAGGCTCACTGGGGCTGTAGGGCCAAGGGAAAAAATATGTAAGACAAAGCACATGGCATATAGCTAAGCAATGGGAATATCAAATAATGTAAGTGATTTTATGGTGCCAAAAAACATATTGTTGGGTAAAGTTCCAATAGATTTTGGTTAAATTATTATTATTATTATTATTATTATCATTATCATTATCATTATCATCATCATGTTAATGAATTTCTTTTTGTTTCCTTGTCTGCATTAATGTTTTTCATCCAGTGCTTGCCCGTAATTTGTCTGACTTTATGTTATGATTGTCTATAATGTATTTACTTGTATCTACCTTCTGCTCTGTCTGTAACTGGCCTTGCGGCTGTTGACTCGGCACATATATAATAAAGAATTGAATTGAATTATTATTATTATTAGTGAGGTGAGTTTGCTAACGGATTTATTGCACAGTTATACAACTCGTTGCTTTACTTCACAAAGCACTATAGGACACACTAGGTCTTCTCAGTCTGTTACAGTCTTCACTAGCCGTTATTTGGTATCTGCTTCCAACGGCGGACGTTTTCCTTCCTCTTGGTTCCCCATCGGTCTCTGGTCTCAGCTACCAGCTTATAACAGCTACATCTCACGACAACTGAACTCCAGCAGTTGTCAAACGAACTCACCAACCAATCAACTGACTTCAGAGTCAAAATTGATTTGCGACTGGCGATTTGCCGCCAGTTATTTCTTCTTCTTCTTCTTCTTGAGACCCACGACCAGAGATTTTCTGCAAGAGAACCCTTGAGGTAAATCTCTTATGAAACATCCTCTCAGACGAGAAGTTGGGTTTGTCGCTTATGAAAATGTTTGGCCTTTCTTCAAGTGTACGTATCGCACTGATAGCTTGTTGCTGGTAATTCTTCCTTTTGCATTATACACAAATCTTCTGTCATTATAGGCTTTGCAGAGTAGATCATGCCTAACTTACTTATGTTTGCTACAACGGCTACTTAGTCACCTGAACTGTCGTAAGCTTGACTTGACTAACTTATAACATCTCGGCACGGACCGCACATAAAACATCGTTCCTGTGTTGCAGTACAATTATTTGCCGTGGAAAAATGCTTATTTTCAGGGCTGTTACTTAACAACAGCTGTTGTATAGTAGCTTATTTCGCTGTCGTTGCCTAACAATGGATCTACATGCCACAGTATTTAGGTAATTTGATAACAGAGAAGGAAGAGTAGTGAAGAAATAAGGCTGAAAATCGCCTTACATTCACAGCACATTTTTAAGGTTACGCCTGCAAGCAAAGTATGGAAAAATAAAAATATTCGAAATCCTGTTGAATCTAGATGTGATATGAGGGTGTGAAACACGTTCCAATGATAAAGTTATGTTAAATACATGGGAGAGAACGTTTTGGGAAAGGTCTGCGGACCAGTAACTGAACAAGGAGTTTGGAAAGTCGGATAGTAACCAAGAACTGAGGAAATGATATAAAACCCCTGATCTGGCAGCGAATATTAGGAAGGAGGAATGGTTAGGGCACGTGATTAGAGCGGATAAAACAAGTGGGACTATTTTTTTAGAAAGTACAGTAAACGTGAGAAGGCCCCAGTGAGATGACTGGAAGACGGAGAAAATAATTTGTGAGAACCGAAAGTGAGAAGATGGGGGCAAAAACAAATAATAGAGAAAAATGCGAGTCTGTCGGAAAGGAGGCCAAGGTTTTTAGAGGGCTGTGGAGCAAAGGAGTAATGCAGGGAGTAAAGCTGGTCATGAGACAGTCTGAAAGTCTGTGACCAAGATGCGCTGTGAAACTGATGCACCGCAGTATGTTTGATATTAAGAATGAAATCCATTAGGAACCTGCCCCTATTTCCGTCGTCAGGTAGAATTATGAAGGCTTTTCTTTCGCTTCCATTAGACGGAGATCAGCCTGGATATAAACACAGGTAACGAACCTACCAGACCAGGTCCCGTCCTTTTGTATGACGGAAGTACAGCACGAAAACAGCAACAGAAAATGCACATGCGCATGCGTGTCAGATTAGGTCAGTCATAAAATTTGTTTGGGACATTACCTGTCTCCCTACTTTTATTTTAAACGACTTTTCGGAGATTTCGTCCTCAGGCAAATAGCATATTTATGACGGAGACAACGTCTGGTCTCCAAAACATTTTTAAAAATAAACAAGAACTTATGGGAAGAACTAATCACCTGCTTTTCTTTGATATGACACAAACCACATAAACGTATATGGTTAGGTTAGCCTTCGCCACAACAAAGTGATTTATAATCAATCAATATTTTATGATTTAATGTTTTTTTCCTGCTATATATTTCGGTCTCATGGGAGCATCATCGGGCACTGATACAAGAATACGTCTAGGGTCATTGAACTGCCTTTGCCTTTTTATATTACATTTTTGTTTATGCTTCTGTCACGCTGGTATTAGTCCTTGCAGTAGGCTGGAGAATACAAATATCATTAAGAGGTCTATCTTCTGGGATATAAGGCCAAATAGTCAGGCCACTACCATAGAGATCCACATATGTACAGAAATACTTTCCCGTTGTCTTGAGAACATCCGAATAGGAGATTTGAGAAAAATGCAACTTACCATCGAAGTGTGTATGGTCGAAATCTTCGAATTTAGAAAGCTGGAAGGTTTCATTAAAGGGCCAGTAGCTAAGGGTGTCGTGAAGGTATGTATTGGTGTCCGGGTGCAGTAACGAGGACAGGTTGCGCGGAGGGACAACATCATCTGTAACAATAATGCAAAGAAAATGTTAAGCACGTAAAAAATACCACAACAAAATGTCTAACACCGTAAAGCATTGTCACGCATCTAGGGGTGTGTGACTGCAGACAGGGTATGGCTTGGTGAATTGGATTTATCGATCATTTGGTATACACCACTTGGAACTGCACTTTACAGATCATTGACATACACAGACTAGTGCTCTCAGTCTATTACAGTCTCCCCTAGCCGTTTCCTGGCAACAGATTTAACACTGTGAAGATTTTTCAGCTTCCGTAGTCACATTATTGTCTGCTTGTTAACTCTCTACGCCTAAACTCATAGCGCCATCTTATCAGCCTCCCTTGTAGAACCCAACTCTCTGTTAACTGCTCACTTCGAACTCCGGAACTCGACTGCCGATTCTCAACTAAACTCGTCTTTATAACCACTCGCCACGGACCAAAGAGAAAACGGCTTTTAAAAATATCTCTATTGTTGCGTATCCGTTGCCGCGGAAACCTGTTTATTGTACCGTTTTCTAGCAATGGCCGTCTCCTCTGACTCCATTATTCCCACCTTCAATCGTCATGTGATAATATAAATTTGCCTCTGGTCGTAAGCGTGACGCCATGAAGTGGAACAATGTAGATAAATTCCATGCAGTCTTCACTTCGGTACGAGATGTAAGTAGTCAGATTCATGCTCCGTGCGCTTTACTCTGGGGAATGCGACTGCGCTGCCTACTGCACAGAATGATGGGTAACCTTCTAGACCGGCTTACGAGTATAAGTCGCGGCGCAGAATAAGGCGTTTTATTTCCGTCAACGAATTCCCCAATCGTCCATACCGAAGCAAGTGAGTTCTCTCTCCGAGCTGACGTCACAACGTACAACCCCAGGTGAAGGAAGTCCGGTGTGAGGAAGCAGGAGTCCTCAGATCGACTTCCAAATCACTCAATGTGACAGTAGCTACCAGTTAATGACCCGATGTTACGATGAGGAGTAGGTTTAACGGTACCGCTCTTGGATCGTGCGCTAGAGGTATTTGGATCGAATCCCGACAGCCACACCAGGCAGTGTAAATTCTAGTATTTTAGAAGTCACAGTTTCAAAGATTCCGCGATTGGCGCCTTCCAAATTCTGGAAGTGTAGAGTGTCATTTAATAAAAAGAAGCAAGCATTACAGAAATCTGTCCGATGCTGACATCTTAGCAATTCTTCACACATTGCTCTTGTACTACTGGTGCTTACGAAACGACGTCACTCAGTACAGAGAGACATACTAAATTGAGAATATTGCGTTCTTTGTATTCTCTGTATCATTTGAATGCGATTTATCGTTATTTATTTCCATGCCTTATTTCTTTACAATTTTTACTCAGTATTTCTTGGTTTACTTAGTGAAATAAAGCTGATCTGGCCAAGCGATAATATTTCTAGTTTCCATTAGTGGGTAAAAGTTTGAATCTCTGACTAAGGGAGTCTGTGGTTCTTCTCGGTAATCCCAAGCAAATGCTAATACAGTACTTCAGAGCAGACCACACGCCTTGCCTTCCCCATCTCTTCCATTGCTTTATTCGCTATCAGTTAGCCATTCGGTGCTACGTGTATATAGCCCGAGTTACTAACAACTTCCTTACGTCCTATTTAGCAGCGTTTTAGCATGCGACCAGCTACATTCTCCCTCATAGCGCAAACACTATTGAAATAAAGTTTATACTAATGAAATTGTTAATATATGATTTCAAGTTACAATGCGATAAAAAATGAAAATATAACTATTTTAATTGTATGTTTGAAGTAGTGCAGTTATTTTACACAAGGCATGCTGTAGCGTAGTTGTAATGACACTATCCTACAAGTCAGAAAGTCGTGGGTTCGATTCCTGATGAGGTCATTATACTTTTTAACTGTCCTAATCGAATCAGTCGCTTTGTGTCCCTGGAGTCGATTCAGTCTCTTACAAAAATGAATAACAGTAAACTTCCTGGGGATAAAGGACGGCCGGCGCGTAAATCTCACAATCTCACCGCCATCTGTGAATCGATTGTCTAGAAAAATGTGGGAGCCTCGACGTCTCACAACCCTGCAGGCCTACACGGCCTGTTACCTTCTACATTTCACAGCAATTTACATACGAAGGGTCCTTTGTCAGTTGTAATAATGCTATTACTCAGGAAATTAAGAAACTAAGTTTGATAGCTAATAAATATTTTATGGATTAAAGAGGAGATTATAATTACATGCAATTTCATGGAGAAGTAAAATCATGTTATACAAGACATTAATTAGGCCAGTCCTAACATACGCATCGGAAACATTGGTATTATCTGCAGCTGATGAAGCTTTTGTTCTCTGGGAGTAAGTCTTTGAGGTCCTTATATGGCTCATTCAAAAAAAGCAATGCATGGGGAATTAAGTACCATTACAAAATGTATTGTGACATGTTGCGAAATCTGAGCCCCCCCCCCNTGTACGAGGACGCGGATATTATAAACTTTATGAAAGTGAGTAGATAGAGCTGGGCAGATCATGTTGTTAGAATGAGCCAGCAGAAACCTGCAAAAAGAATTCTTAACGCCAAACCAGAAAGCAGTATGAAAGAGGAAGTCATGAACTGAACTGGGAAGATTGAACGGACAGCTAAAGCCCTGAGGTAAATATACTGGGAAAACCTACCCAGGAATAAATAAAACTGGCAGAATCTTATAAAACAGGCTATGGATGTTTTGCCAATGATGATGAATTTTTAAATATTTATTTTCAGACATAATAATCATTGTTTTGTGAAGCAATGAGACATAATGTGTACCTTTGCTAAGGTCAGTAAAATATAATTCGTGAATTTCCACACGGCTATTTAAGGAATTGCCTTCTTCACAAGAGCCTTCCACTTCTCCCTATCCTGAACCAGATCAATCCAGTCCATACCACCCCATCTATCTCTCTACGATCAATTTTAATATTATCCACTCACCTACGTCTTGGTCTTCCTAGTAATATTTTTCCTTCTAGCTTTCCCACCAATATCCTATGTGCATTCCTCTTCTCCCCCATTCGTGCTACATGTCCTGTCCACCTCATCCTCCTTGACTTGATCATTCTAATTATACTTGGAGAAGAGTACAAATTATGAAGCTCCTCATTATGCAGTTTTCTCCAACCTCCTGTCACTTCATCTCTCTTCGGTCCAAATATTCTCCTCAACACCCTGTTCTCAAACATCCTCAGTCTGTGTTCCTCCCTTGATATCAAGAGACCAAGTTTCACACCCATAAAGAACCACGGGCAAAATTATGCTTTAACACTTCATAAGTACTTAATACTCGTAAAATGCTCATCTGCAAAAATCATGTCATTTAATTTAAGTTGAATTTGAACCACGGACAGACTTAGTGGTAAAAATTTGCCAGTGTAAACAGGAACAACATATTCACAGTGTGTATGTTATCACATATCAAATTTGGGGATTAAATCAGTAAGTACTTTGTAAGATTTGAGGCTTTCACGGCGGTGACTATGAAGAAAGCAGTCTTCTGGGATTTGGCACCGTGTATATGTGGTGTTAACCGACGTTTCGGAGAAAGTCTGCTTTTACCGGTTCTCACGGTCTCTTTGCTTGCAGATTCTTATATATATATTTTTTCTTCTACCCTGAAGATGGAGGCGATACGTTCCTCCGAAACGTCGGTTAACACCACATATACACGGTGCCAAATCCCAGAAGACTGCTTTCTTCTTTCAGTAAGTACTTTGTTGGGAAACCCCAAAAAATGGAATATCATTCAGTGAGACTTATAATCCTTCAGCACCCCTTTGAGCCTCATGTAAACGATCCAATTAGGAGGCCTGCAACTTCCGGATTACGCAAAACCACGTGACGCCCAGTTATGACATTATTTCGGCTGAATCCCATCCAACCCCGTGACAGATAAATCAAGAAGAGGGAAAGTATACAAGATGGGGTAGTGACAGTGTTCAGGGTTCATAGGTTGTGCGGCTTACTCTTCAACCATGAGGAAAGGGGCGGTACCTTCCTCCGAAACTTCGATAAAATTCCACCATACCACACGGAGTCAAACTCCGGAAGGATGCGGATAGATGGCAACAATTCAAACGTTCGGGCAACCATTTTGAGACTTACTGCAGAATAGGTGTTTTCGTCTCATGTCGTGATCTCGTTATTTGCGAGAAGCGGAAATGGGCGTTTCTTGAAGCTCTCGCGTCTATGGGGTAAACGAATGGAAGTCAACAAGTGCCACTCTGAATCAGATCAGACACGCGAATGGCATCGCGTCTCTATTGCATGGGCGCTGTTCTGCAAAGTGAATGATAAACGTTGCAGTAGCCAGCCATGGAAACATGTTTATACTGCAATTTTCTTGCCATATAGGGGACACATTCTGTTACGGCGTGGCCATGCTCGTGTGTCTGTTCCGCAGAAGCTTTGAAGCCTAGTGAAGACTTTTCATTTCAGAGGTTATGGACGTCAGGTTGCTAGAGGCAGCCCTTCTCTGTACACGTGCATTTCAAATTAAAAATAACGCCAATATGGCGGTCCTGATACTTGACAGATGAGACCGTCATTTAATTTAGTCGCTAAAGCTTCGAGTGGTAATAATATCACGTCTCTTGTTGCGGAAATTATGTAAACTTTCAAGCAAAATAGAGAGACGGCGGAAAATCTAAACTCGTAGCGGTCACTTCTAACGAAATAATGGAACTACCTAACTAACTAACTAACTAACTAACTAACTAACTTGCTTGATGCACAAGAGCCCTTCTTGTGGAGCCACCAGTTGTGCAGCTACTTAAGAACTTCCCAGCAATTTATGGAATCCGAAAGTTAATTATGGAGCCCTCCACTGGTCCCTATCCAGAGCCAGATCAATCTAGTCACTCCACCCCATCCTATCTCTCTAAGATCCATTTTAATATTGTCTACCCCCGTTGCCTTTGTATTCTTAATGGAGCTACGCACACCAATATATATATATACGTGTATACTTTACAAACAAAACA